CCCCCCTAGAGTTTTTTTTTTAATTAAATATCTACCATCATGAATGTAAGAGCTTTTTTTTTTTAATATTTATGTATTTATTTATTTATGTATTTTGTGTGTGTGTGGCCAGTTCAGCCCACCAGGGGGCGGGGCTGGCTGGCATGTGGTGCTGGGGGATTGAACCGAGGTCCCCGAGCTTAGTTTGTTCTAAGTAGGTGCTTTAGACCACTGAGCCATCTCACCAGCCCCCTGTAAGAGCTTCTTGTGAATGTCATTTTTTTTTTTAATACTGGAAGAAAAAATACTCTTTCGTGTCTCGTGTTTGGAATGTCCTTCAGAACTGATTAAAAAGGTGAAACCTCAAAACAAAAGAATAAAGTTTTAGGGGCCAGCCAGATAGCTAGTGGATTAGGCAGACACAGGGGCCAGGGGTTCAATTCCCAGCCTGCCTTGCCATGTCGACCCACCCCGCCACCCCCCGGGCATGCTGAGACTATGAATGAAACTGAATGGCAAGCACCTGTAATCCCAGCACTTGGGAGAATGAAAAACAGAAAAGATTTTTTTTTTTTTTTTAAAAGATACGGCCTCACTTTGTAGCCTGAACTGGCCTGGAACTCAGCAAACCCAGACTACAAATCCAATCTGTGTAGTGAGACCCTGTACTAAATACATTAAAAAAAAAAAAAGTTTTGCTGCATGCAACAACATGAATCAATCTCAAAAACATTTATGTAGCAAAAGAAGCCAGGTTTAAGAAAAAAAGGAGCATGAGAAGGAGAAGGAAAGACAACAAAGAAGCCACTTAAAGAAGGGTATGAGCAGCGGGGCATGGTGGTGCACACCTATAGTGCCAGCACTCTTGGAAGCTGAGGCAGGAGGACAGCAAGTTCAAACTCAGCCTGGGCAACTGTCTTGGTTACTTTCCTTGCTGAGATAAAATATTCAACACCCAAAATTAAAGGAGGAAGGGCTTATTTCAGCTCAGCGTGTATTGGTTTCAGTCCGCAGTCAGCTGTCTCCAAGGCAGGGAAGCACATGGTGCAGGGGCATCACAGGGGGGAACAGTCCACGGTACAGCAGGGCAGGCAGAAGGCAGCCAACAGTCAAGGAGCAAGCAGCAAGCACCACAGCCGCCCTCTTCCTGTCCCTTATATTCTCCAGGGGCTCCACTCCCTCACACCCAGGGAGGGCCTTCCCATTATCCACTCACAGAACTCTGCCAAACCCATCGGCGGACCTTTAGTAATCACACACTCTTGATCCCAGCATCTTGCACTCTAGACCCAGCCACCTGAAAACTCCTACAATGACCATATGGGACTATGGGGGGGACATCTAGATAAAGCCATAACAGCAATTTAGTGAGACCCTGTCTCAAAATAATAATAATTATAAAAGGGGGGCTGAGGAGGTAGCTTAGTGCAAAGGCTGAGACCAATCCTAAAAATAAAATCACTACACTAAAAAAAAAAAAAAAAAAAAAAAAAAAACAAGCCAAAAAGAGGTATGTGCCTTTATGATTACATTTACATGAAGTTTGTACAGGCAGGCAGGGCTCTGAAGAGCTCGGGGGGCATGGTTATTTGTTTGTTTGTTTTGTTCTTTGTCTTTTTGGAACAGGATTTCACTATATAGTTCAGGTTGGCCTTAAGCTCACTTTGTAGGCCAGGCTGGTCTTGAACTCACAATGATCCTCCTGTCTCAGCCTCCCAGAGTGCTGGGATTACAGGTATGCCCCAACACACCCGGCCCTGAAAAGATGGTAATGTGCATTTCTTGATCAATGTAAGTGTTTGCTCCCAGGCCTTGTCCCTTTTGTGGAAAATCACTGTGCTACATATACATTTGTACACTTTTCTGTATTCTTGTTATACTTCAAGAAAGAGTTGGGGCTGGTGAGATGGCTCAGTGGTCTAAAGCACCTACTTAGAACAAGTTTAGCAAAGCACAGGGACCACAGTTCAATCCCCCAGCACCACATGCCAGCCAGCCCC